GCATGCATTGAATAACAAAGTTCTTTATTCATAACCACTTGTTTAACAAACTCTAGATCTAAAGCCGGTATTCCGATGACCGTCATCTTCATTAGACTGGCTCACTGTGTACTGAAACTAGCATGTACATTTAGATATCATCGATTTTCTTAAGGGATAGGTGAGGTGATTTTCTCAGGGCCACTTATAAGCCTTGTAACTGATTACCTACTTATCTAATGACAATCTGGACTCTGGACCATAAAATGATTAAAACGGTCAAAATGCAGCCCGGTTATGCTACTGAAATCTTTGTTCATGTAGACTCAGCTCACTTATCTGTAACGGAAGAAAAGGAGGCGCGAAACCTTTACTTTATACTATAAATTATAGATGCTGTTAACACACAGGCTGCTGATTTGTAATTATAAACCGTTTAGATTGACATGTCTGTAATACACCAACATTTTGTGATCTTGTTTATGCAAATTGTGTTTACCTAAACACGACAGTCCACAACGACAAGTGCTACCGACAGTCCAGGGACGCCCTGTCACATAAGGAAGCCTCGGCAGCCTGTGTCTTCATGGGAGGGCAGCTGGTAGACATCAAACAGTCGCATGAGCAGCAGATGCTAACTGACATCATCCGGAACACCAACGATGTCTCTCACTGGACTTTCATCAAGTCAGAGACACCGACACTTCTCCACATCGATGGATCTCCGATGTCGTGTGAGTTCCAATTTTACTTGCACATACAGTAGTGTTCTTTTGAGTGGATGATTCGGCGTCTCTGCTTGTCAATAACGTCGGTGGTATGGCGGCTGGGAGGTGATTTTGACAGTTGATTGATGGGAAGGTCAAGTCTAAAGGTCACCCAGCACGCCTCTGGTCTGGGTAAGTGAGCGGTATGTACTAGATGAATCGACGAAAGTTATGTAAAACAAGATTGATGTACTTCTCGGAAATCTGTAAACTTCAAGGTCACGAAAACAAAAACAATGCTTTAAAAAAATCTGAAACTTTTTAAAAGACATATTGCAAAAGCGATGCATGTACACAGCATACATAGCTATTTCGTTCGACTTTGTATTTTTATTTTTCCGTCTATGATGTTGTACAAGTATGTTATGTTTACAGTGCAGTCATCGTGGATGGCGGAAGATATGTACGGCCCGTTCGACATCTGTGTGCTGCTGGACCGAGACCAGAGTTACAAGGGAGACTTCCACGCCTGCACGGAACAACACAACT